TAGTGAGACAGGCCAGAGTTCCTAAGACAGTTCTCTTCACATTTTGTTCTTGGAGAGATAGTTCTCTAATTTGTGACCTTAGCCATTTTAACACATTGTGACACTCTTTGGAAGCATTACACTTCACCTCTTAGGCAAACTGATTTGGCTTTTAAAAAGAAATCCCCATTCATAAGTGTTTAGTACCAGTTGACCTGCTTGTATTTATTTTCTGATAATCCACAGTCATGCTACACTGTTTGAAGCTGTGCTGCAAATACTTCAAAAGTTTCTATTCACTTGTTCACACTATAGCTGTTCCACTTCAGATCATTCGTTACACAGCCCCCAACTTGCTATGCTGCTGTCAAACATCTTGTTCCTCTACTTTAACAGCTGCTAATTCTTTCTTAACATTTAGGAGCCAAATTGTCCCTAGTGACTAAGAAATACTATGAGTAGAAACACAGGCATCTAAGCTGTGCACCCTACTAACATGAACTTACTGCACAGAGCAGTGAAGCACGGAAGAATTGTGTCCGCTTATCTTTACATCAGAGAAAGATTTAAACATGGCACTTCCGCTTTCTTGAAAGTTTCATGTATGTATGTCACCTATTACCTCTAAAACTCTAATTTCCTTCCCTAATACTTAATCTTTTCATGAAAGCAAGTTTAGTGCTTGAAGAAAAGTGGCATTATTATTCTGGTCTCTGTGGCAGCATTTAATTGAAAACAGAAAATTCTAATTATCAACGATGACTACCAAGGTACTCTTAGTTCTACCATTTACAGAATTTTTGAAATAAGTCACTTAACATTTCTATGCCTCAATTTCCTCATTTGGAAAATGGAGATAATAATATCTACACCTCATACATGAAAATTGCTTTAAAAAATTCAGAAAATGGCAGCTCTTATTACCACCTAAGTATAAAAAAATTAGTTTATACCTAGTCAACAAAACATTCATCAAAAGATCCAATATGACATTGTTATAAAGCGGTTTCTGTAAAATACCTTAATTCAAAAATGTCATTTTAACAATTCAGTGGCATTTCTAAATTACTAAAATACTTTCTTTTGCTTCCTTGGTAACAAAAATGTAAACATTAAATAGTCACTCGGCTGGGTGCCGTGGCTCACTCCTGTAACTCCAGCACTTCGGGAAGCCAAGGCTGGAGGCTTGTTTGAGCCTTAGGAGTTTGAGACCAGCCTGAGCAACAAGGTGAAACGCTGGAGGTTGAGGTGGGAGGATCATCTGAGCTCAGGGAGGTTGAGGCTGCAGTGAGCCATGATCGTGCCACTGCACTCCAGCCTGGGCAACAGAATGAGACCCTATCTCAAACAAACAAACAAACAAACAAACAAACAAAAAAGCAGTAATCCTCAGCTTTACTTCCAGTATGTCTCACCGTTCTGTAGAGTGCTAATTGTAATCCACAATTCTCACTGCCAACTTTGTTCGAGTAGCGTTCATGTTAAAATTTCAAGTTTAAATGACAATGCAAAACTGGCTATATTTCACTAATCTGAGCTAATCTCATAATTAATTACGAAAAGTTTTATATATAATACGCTAGGCTATTTAGATTTTCAGGTCTTTCATCCTGATATAGGCACTTTGGTCTACCCTTTTCCACAAGGCAGCCATAAAATTACAGGTTTGTAATTATCTTCATTCTTTAGGACTTCATAAGGAGCCCATAAAACAATTAAACGACATTTTATGGAATAATGTACTGTGCAGACTTTTCACTATGATGACAATTTGGCCGTAGAGCATGTTCATGATGTCTGGATTTTTTTTTTTTTTTTATCAGTAGAGAGAATGTGTTTGGCATATGCATTAGTAGACTACTACTAGTCTTGAACAGTTCCATCTCATGAATCTAACATTTTTCATATTTCAGTATAAATGCAAATAAGTAATTGAGATAAACAGCTTGTCAGGCATTAAGTGTTACTGAAATGACCCTCGTCTACATTTAGCTTTCCCCCTCCTCATAGATTTATTAAGACAGGGTTCATTGTCCAAATACTGGTGACAGAGTTTAAAAGCTTATATATGAGATATATTGAACTCTGCCTTTCATCAAATTTGCCACACTTACTTTCTCACCAAAAAATGCAAAAATTCAAAGTCTTATAAGTGGCAACGAACTGATCATGAAATGTTATGTATAAATGAATTAAACGTATTTTTGCTAGCAAACATTATTCCTGCCAAACAACTCAGAAATAATACCAAGCCATTTAAACAGACAGGAATCTGGCCTACAGTCAAGAAAAGCAATTAAAAAAAATATCTCAATAGCTGCTTTTTCAAACAAAGAGTCTTTTCCCTTGCTCTGGCACAAAATTCGGGAAAAGAGCCAAGGTGCTACTTCTCAGCCCTTTGACATCAGGGGAAGACTGTGTGCGTCAGCGGGCCCAGTAGGGACCCCTGGCTTATGACAATGTGCCATGTGCTTCTTATCTTATCAGCTTATAGTGCCTGGCACTTCAGCCATTACTGTGTGAACCCTGGAGGAAGGAAGGTGTTTGTAATTGTGAGAGTGTAGGTTAAAGTTAGGAGCTAAGCAGGTTTTAGCAACTTATTAACAAAACAAACCGTCCAACATATGGCATTAATAATAATAAAAGCCTCTGCCTTCAAATTCAAACTTAAGAGAAAGTGAGTTTTTTTAAAGGGGTGTTCTAGCTGCATATGGGAACCACTTCCCCTCCTACTTATGCAAATAAATGTCAAAGCTGTAGTTTCAGAACACTGACTCCACTACCTTATTAAAAAGGGAAAAAAAGCAATTTGTTAGAAAATGTATGTGTGCCTTTTATATTAGCTCTACTAAAAACGGTGCTGGGGCAGTGAAATCCTGTCTCCACTAAAAATACAAAAATTAGCTGGGCGTGGTGACAGGCACCTGTAGTCCCAGCTACTTGGGAGGCTGAGGCAGGAGAATGGCATGAACTCAGGAGATGGATCCTGCAGCGAGCCAAGATCGCACTACTGCACTCTAGCCTGGGTGACACAGCGAGACTCTGTCTCAAAAAAAAAAAAAGGGGGGGGGTGCTTGGGGATTGGGAATAGGTTAACTGCTTTCAAATGCTGGCCAATATTTGCAGCTCTAAACACAAGGCAGGGGAGAGAGTTCCAGCCACTCAGGCAAGTGGAGCTCAGTCACACCAGTGAATTCAGGATTGAGGGATCCAAAGAGAATCTGCTAAAGACACAAACTGTCTCATAAAAACTATTTCACCTCAAAATTAATCTTCAAAAAACCTATCCTTGACTTAAAAATCATTTTAAAACAACTTAAAAATACTCAGAGAAATGTCACACTTGCTATTTGAAAACTAATCTGGTCAACGTAATCAACACATTGTAAATGACAAAAGTAAGAGTTTTACTTACTAGTCTCAGCTCAGACTGTACATTAAAAAGCTCTTTATTAAAAGTGAGAATGCATTTATACCATAATTTACAAGTATCTCAAACTAATACACCTCATAAACTGTCATCCTGGTTATACAGCTAATAAAACAATAGATTTCTGATATTACATTATAACTGTTTATTATTCCCTCAAGCTTACCTGTTAAAACAGGGTATGATTCATTTGCTCCCTCCTCTATGTGGGTTAGAGGTCATGCCGTTATAAACCACAAATAAGTAGAAAAATTATCTACTCCCTCCTGTGACAAAATTCCCCTCTCTGATGACACCATCCTATCCTTACACCTCATTCTTCCTTTTACTACTTTTGAGTCAGGTATTTGCCCTCAACTGTACACTGCGGTCCCTGCTCATCTAGTTTCTCTCCCATTTGAATTAACTTTGCCTCGCTATTGAGTTTAAAAACCGTTGCCAATTACTGCAATAACACCTCAGCAAGCACCACAGAATTCTTTGCTTAGTCCCACCCCACACTAGGGAAACCTAATCATTCGAGTTTTGTGACCTGCATTTCTAACTGGTTAGAGAAAAATGCAGTCGTGTCAATTCTTTTCCGTCTCTTAGATGGATCCCTATATTGATCCCACAGCAGCCAGACCAAGACTGTTCCATTACTCCTAAGCATCTGGACATGGCATGATCACCCTGACACATGACCTAGCCTTTTGTTACTCAGAGGAGCCTTTATTTTTCCTCTGCAATGTTTCTCTGAACCTCTACCCACTTTCTAGCTTCTCTCCCAACTCAGCTGGCTCTCCTTTTTGGTTCTTGATTCCTTATTTTAATTGCTCACTTAGTTATTTCCCCTTTATGTCTCATGTCTTCAAACTCTCCTTGCCCCTTTTAATGTAAAGATTTCTAAGACACTCATACTTCCACCAATCCTGAAACATGATTCACAACAACAAAATGTCCTTCACACCTGGTAAACCCACCACATCTTCTATTTTTCTTTCACCATCAAAGTCAAAAGAGTAGTCCAGTGCTTACTTTAATGTCCTTAATTCTAATTCATGCATTAATCATCACTCAATGATTTCATTCCCCATAACTGCATGAAAATCATTTTTTGGTTAAACCAGCATTCCAAATTGCTAAATATCATTATCACAGTCTTCATCTCCCTTGGTCTCAGTAGGATCAGATATTGTTAACTAATCCCTTAGTTTCTTGGAAATTTTTCCACATAACATAGTAAAGCAGGTCATTTAGCCAATAATCAATTTGCCTAAAGCAAATATGTAACCACCCTATGAAAAATAAAGGGAAAAATCACCCAACTAGAACATCACAGAAATCCTCAAAAGCCATTAAAACTAACCCATCCAGAATGAAACACTGTAAACTTTTTTGGTGCAATGAAACCCTGTCAATGATATTGTAGGGGTCTTGAGTGAACGTTGGCACCAAAAAGACTCAAGGTGTGAACCAAACAAAGTTTTCATCAATTGATAATTTTAATGAATTGGCAGATCAAAACAGAGCTACAGAGTACTAGTTTGCTTCCTGTCTATCTGAATGTCCCTTCTAAATTTCTTTTGCTGGCTTAGTGTCCTCTACTCACCTGTTAAATGTTGGGATTTCCTCTCTTCTATCCTCATTCTACATTCTTTTCCTTCAAAGTCTTCTCTACCCCCATCTCTTCAACTGTAACATCTCTGTGGATGACTTCTATATCTATACCATTAGCTTCTAAACAAAAACAAAACAAAAAAATCAAATAACTAACAGATAATTCTCAGCATGGCTACACCTTAACCTACTAGAATCTTCTCCCTCTTCTCCTCCTTCTCCTCCCTCTTTCATATCCCATCTCTTTAAATGAAATCATCCTCTTAATCACCTAAACTAAATATCCCAGTCATCCTCCAATCCGCCCTCTTCTTCAATCCCTAAATGCAAATCACTGATTTCTGTCGACCATACCTTCAGTGTTTCTGCCTCCTTTAAACCGTCTTCACTCCCACTGCTATTGTCTTTGTTCAGACAGTTAGCCATTATTTTTCCCTCTCAGGGAAGGTCACCATCTCCAGTTCAGAATAAATCCTGATTTGCTAAATCAGTCATGGTAATACTCTCCTTCCCTGAAAGTTGTTAGTTTAGCTCCACACAGAGAAGTCCACTCTTCTTCCAATGTGCATACCAGGCCTACAGCCAAAGAGCTGATCTTGCCACCATCAAAACAAAGTCCATTAGCAAAGTGGGAAGGGTAAAGAAGCAGATCCACGGGTGTGAGTAACTAAATCCATCAATCCTGGAGTTGCCCTTCCTCAAAGGCTCATGTTTTGTGATGCAAATTTTCCCTATTGTGTAAGTAATCTGAAGTAGGGTTTCTGTTACTTGCAGCCAAAAGGTGCTCTAACTGAGCAGACCCATGCCAGTGCACAGCCTTCTCCCTCAACTTGCCTTTCTGGTTTCAGGGCTCCTGATCAATCTTCCTTCACACTACTCTACTCTCAGAAGTACTCTCCTGGGGGATGTGGAGTGATCCCTGGGCCCAAAAGTCTGTGACCAGCCCATGCCCAGCTGGCATTCCAAGACCTTCCAGGGCAGCACTCAACACTCCATACTCAAGAAATTCTGAGAAGTCTTCTAGGGCTTCAGCACAGCAGGACGCTGGGACCACTCAGCTGCTGAATGGGCTGAAAAGGCCCCAAGCCCCCAAGGGCACAGGCAACCCCCATCTCTGGGTGCCAAGCCAAGGAGCTGCCAATGGGCTTTACACCCACGGTTCTGGAGTCCACCTGAGGCACTCGTCCACCCCGGGTCCCCTCACTCTTGGAGCTCCCCACACGTGGGCCCCCTGCTATGAGTCCCGGCCTCCCTGCCGCCATCCACTTCAAGACTGGATTAGAGCAGCCCTCATGCAATCAGCAGCCACAGCCAAGGTGGCACGTGACAGGTGGGCACAGGCACTTCTGATGACATCATGCCCACCCCAGAAACTCCGCCCACCTGCTTCCGGCCTGGGCTTCCTTGGACGGGCGGGAAACTTCCTACGGCTGGGGAGGGCCCAAGACCCGAGTCCAGCAGCTAGAGGACGCAATAGAAAATACACAAAACCAGAGAAACCCGGGAAACTCTCTAAACATGGACCCTGCCATTCCTTGCACGGGGTCACCTCTGTGGCATCTCCACGGGCCTCTCCTCTCCCTGGCTAGAGACAGGAACCAGGAGCGCCCGCTGGATAAGCCATGACCTTCAGTTCAGTACAAGCAGGAAGTTCCCGCTTTATTCAATCCGGACCGACTTCCGGTAAATACGTATATCCCAATTGTGGGCTGAATCGCCCAGATGCTCAGGGCTGCCAACCTCAGTCTAAGGGAAGCCCAGCATCTCTTTTAGTTCAACAGACAGCAGCTTTTCTTCTTCTCTGGATGGCTGCACTGTCAAGAGTTTTTGTTTGATTTTTTCTTTCCCCCCAATGACAAATTAAGTCAAGATTCTGTAAGGGTAAACTTACTCCTCCCCACAGTCCCTACCCTCCCTGAAAGAATCCAGAAGTATTGTTGACTGTTATAGATTACCTTTTGTAAATGCTACAACGTAATGAAACAACATGATAGGTGCAAAGTCCACTTTAACCAAAAGAACGACACTCTGTTTCAGATTTTTATTTTAAAAAATCTGATCAGTTCCTCACTGTTCCAGAACAAAGAAGAAAAACAGAGTATGGAAGCATCTCCACCATCTGGCCCCAAACAACCTTCAGCTCCGGCTATTTTCCCCATTCCTGTGGTCCTCAAGATTTCCGTAAAACCCACACCTACACCTCGACTCTTTCCTACTAAATGCATTTGCCCTTGTTGGCCGCCAAACTCTTTTTCTGTTTTTTTCTTACATGGTATAATATAAAGTCAGTCTCTCCAATTTATTTCTACCCATTTCTGCCTTACTGTCCCAACTGCCCAAAAGTTAATCAGGCATGTATTGGGCCTTTGCTAAGTAATGATAAAATAAAACTACTGCTTGCTTCCCTTAAGGGAAGATAGACCACAAACAGCTACAAATCAGTGGGATAAAAAGTGCAATAACTGTACATGAGGTCTATAGGAAAAGGAAGAAAAGCAACAGACTAGGTGAGATACTAAGGTCAGAGAAGCTTCTCACAGACAAATGGACACCCAAATTTAGCCTTGTAATCCACTAACAGACAAGATGGAAAGGGCATCCCAGACAGGAGGAACAGCACATACCCTCCCAAGAAGGCACGAAGGATCGACCTTTTCAGAAATTCAAAAATTACATATGATAAAAGGCATGTGGAAGAGGTGGAGGATAGGTGCTCAGAGTAAGCAAAGGCAGTTTAAGGATATGTATGCCATGCTAAGGACTTCAGAATTTTATTTGTAGGTGGATGGAAATACGCAGGATTTCACCTTGAGAATGATATAAGCAGATCTGGATTTTAGAATGCTCTTTACTCCCATCGAAAGGATTGATTGAAGCCAGGAATGCCCATTAGTCAGCCACTGCAGCAGTGCAGTTGAGAAACAGTAGTAGAATAAAACTGATAATTAAATGGCAGGCTGACAAGACTAGATGACCAGTTACATGCACAAGATTAGGGAGAATGACAGGGAAGATTCAAGCCCTCCCTGACTCTTTGCCATCTCTCATACCTCATATCCATACCATTAAGCAGTCCTGTTGTTGCAAACTTCTAAATTCATCCAAAACCTAATCATGTTTCACCTTCCCCACAGTCAACACCATCAATCCAAGCCACTATCATCCTTCATGTGGCTACTGCAATAGCTTTCTAACTGGTTAACCTGCATACGTCTATAGTCTGGTCTCAATCTAGTACCCAGTGAAAACATTAGCTAGATCATGTTGCTACTCTGCTAAAAACCCTCCAACTTCCCCTGATCTCACACAGCAAAAGCCAGTCCTTACATGGCCTGTTCCTCATGACATCTCTCACCTTGAACAAACTAGGCATACATCCACATCCTGGCCTTTTCCCTGGCTTGTCCCTCTGCCTGGAATACTGTTCTTTCCTCAGGTGTCTACATCACACCCCTGCAAGCAATTGTTCAAAATGTCACTGTCTCAAATGAGAGCTACATGGTATTTAATACTGTTGTCTCCCAGCCCCCACTGCCCCAACTCCTGACCCTCCTCACTCTGTTCTACATCATTTTTCCTGTGGCACTCTTAAGTTTTCGAATATCCTGCATAATTTACTTTTATTTGTTGTCCATTTCTTTTACTAGAAAACATGAATTCACAAGGACAGGGCTCTTCTGTTTTGTTCATTGATGTATCACAAGCACTTAGAACAGCGCCTGGTCAACAGTAGGAGCTCAATGCATATTTAAATTAATGAATGTTTGAATAAATGAACCCAATACTTGGAGTCAGGAGAGAATCATGGGGAGGAACGGGTCAGGTATGTCTTCTGGAAATGACACCTGAGCTGAGCCTTCATGAGAAGAAATTAAGCAAGCAAGTAAATGGTCTGGAATTTCCAGAGATGACAGCATGAGAAGGTAGAGATGCAAGAAGGGCACGGGACTACAAACAGTTTGATGTTGCCAGAGCTTAAATAAGAGGCAAAGAGGTAGAAATAAGGCTGGTTCTTGTCAATTAGTGGAAGGTCCTGATTATATTCCAGCTCAAGTAAGTTTACTGTGAGTTTCTGAAACATCCATCAGACTTTAGTGACAACAATTAGTTTCAAGGAAAAAGTAATGTGCACATATAGGGTAGTGGTGATGTAGTCAAGAGATATTTTTAAAATATAACCAGCAGGACTTATTGAATGGACTGAATGTGGAGAGAGTGGTGAATGAGAATAAAGATAAGTACCAGCTTTCAAACTCACGTATATATGGTGTAATGAGAAAGAAGATGGTAAGTGTCCTACCCAATGAGAAAGAAGATGTTAAGTTCAGTTTTTGACTTGTTAAATTTTAGCCCATTCAGTTGGAAAAAATGGTGATAGAAATAAACATTAATTTCCTTTTTAGATCCATTATGGTGACATGATGGAGAAAATATGAGGTAAGAAAACCTGTCAAGTTTCCATTCTAACCTTACCACTCATAAAAAATATTCAGGTGTTAACTTAAATCTTTCCTTTCCAAAAGAATACGTTAGGCCATTTAATACTAATTAGAACCTCACCATGCTCTGATAGAAGAACAGTGCTACGGACAAAATGTGTCCCCCCAAAATTCGTATGTTGAAGCCTTGATCCCCAGTGCAGTGGTATCTGGAGGTAGGGTCCTCGGGAGGTAATTAGGTCATGAGGGGTAGAGCCCTCACTGACAGGATTAGTGCCCTCATAAGAGTTGAGAGATTAGTGCCCTAATAAGAAATGAGAAAGAGAGGATTTGTCTCTCAAAACATTTCTCTTGCAAGAAGGCAGCCATCTGCCAACGAGAGAGAGGGCCCTGCCCAGGAACTGCATCAGCCAGCACCATGGTCTCTGACTTCCCAGCCCCCAGAACTGTGAGAAATAAATGTTTAAAAGTCACCCAGTCTGTGGTACTTGTTGGAGCAGCCCGAATTTACTAAGACAGGTAAGCATAAGCATTTTGTTTAAAAGTTTGATAAACAGAAAAAAAACAATTTCTCATTATGTGTTTCTGAGGTTTTTACAATTTGAGAATTTTGATTATTCTGGTGGACAAAAGTGCTAAATCCTCCTCGGACCGGGGATTAATATATTCTCTTTGGCACAATGGATTTAAGTAGCCCTCAACTGATCTCATATTTAAAGCAGAGACTATGAATCAGTCAGTTGTTGTGAGAGGAACATTTGGACTAGACATCTAACAACAAGGATCCTAGTTTTGATTATTTCATTTACTTGCCACCAAATGTGGTTTTAGTGATTTTTCTTATCTCTTTATCTGACTGTATGCTTATTTGTATATTCAGTAACTATTTTTGAGCAATAACAACATGCTAGATACTAGAAATCTAAGGATGACAAAAGCATGGTCCCTGTCTTTTACTTAAGCTGGTAGACAACATAGAACAGATGAAGATAAATAATATTAGTGATGCCTGACCCACCTATTTCCCAGGGCTTTTATGAAGCTTCAACAAACTGAATTCTTTTCAAAAATATACAGCTCTCCACAGAAGTAAAGTGCTAATATTTGAAGGCAGATATTCACCATAACAGCACATTTCTCTATGTAGGCTGTTTCGAGTAGTCACTATGGAGCTTAATGAGGTAAGTGGAAATACAGGGCCCAAAAAATCAAAAGTCACAACCAATGGAAAAATAAAAACTGTATCGTGAGAGCTTCTTAAGTATGCCGAAGCATATTTTTAAAATCATTACAAGCATATGACTTCTATGTCAATCTAATAACAGGATTATATTTCAAATTAAGTACATTTTTCTAAGGTACAGTTGTTCACATCAAATGATCTAATTGTCAAGTCTAAATAAAATAAATTTACCTATGTTTAAATGCACAATGAAAACAACCAATGAAATTTAAGTGGAAGACTGCTAAGAAAAAATGTATATATATATAAAAATTTCACTCAACTCAAAGGAAAAAATGTAACTATATACCAAAAGAAACACCATGGATTCAAGGGTCATGAGAACAAACAAAAAAACAACAGTTTTACTCTGGGTATTTTTATTAGCTTGTCTTGTTTTTTAATCAAGACAAGTATAGATGACCCTCTATTTATGAATTTTTATCCCTCGAAGTTCTTTATTTAGTGGTCCTTTTCAAATTGTTACACATTCAAAAATTAAAACAATATAAAATATATATATTAAGAAGTCTCATTCCCACCAGATTTCTCCCCCAAGAAAACACACAAGTATGTTTTCCTGTGTGTCCTACCAGTATTTCTTCATGTGGCAAATAACTCAAAATTTTTATAAATACAAACAAAACATATCCATATGTGTCAACCACCAAGTCCCGACCTCCACAGCTGCTTGATTGATGCAAAGTGTTTCTTAGCCAGTTGCTTGTGATAGCATTAGTCTGAATTTGTTGAATGCCTACTATGTGTGGGGCAGTATACTAATCATTTTCCATTTACTAAATCCATCTTCAAAATAATCCAGATACATAATTCTTACTATCCTCATTTTACAGAAGAGGAAAGAGGATTAAGAAGTTAGGTCACTTGCCAAAGTTAACATAGCAAACGTGTACCTGAGCTATGTTTCAAAACATATTAGTGTGCCTACAGATCCTCTTTACCGTATATTCTCTACTACCTCTTCAGTCTTACTGCCTCGCCAAAGTTTGCAAGTAAAACAGTCAGATACTCCAGGAGGCCAAAAATCACTTCCCAAAAAGATACCCACGTCAAATCCCTGGAACTCATAGAATATTTATTTGCCTTATGGCAAAAGATGAGATGATAGTGAAAGATCCTGGGAGGAGGAGTTTACCCTGTATTATCCAAGTGGGCCCTAAATGATACCACTTCAAGGTATTCCACACGGCATTCCTTCTAATCAAGGAATTTACCTCATAGCAAATGAGGTATGACCATGGACCCATCATCATGGAATTCACATTCAATGAACATGTCCCCATATCCTGAAGCAGCTGGTTTGACAGAAAAGAAAAATGGTATTTGAAGTCTCAGCAGCAGGTAGGTTTAGGTGGGATATCTTGCAGGGCTGGGGCAATGTTCTGTGGAAGACTGTATATGTACTAAACTGGTGTCTAATGTATGATACTGTTTCTCCCATAGCCGGGATTCATGGGTCCGGGAATCAAGGGTGGGGAGGAATAGGAATGGTACCCCTTAATATTACTCCTGGTGATTTACTACTAAAATGTTCACTTCCTGTTCCCACAACCTTATGCTCTGCTGGTCCTTCCAAGGAAGGAATATTTCTATCAGAAGACACAATGGCTCCAATGAACTGGAAGTTGAGACTGCCACCCAGCCACTTTGGGCTCCTCAGGCCTCTAAATCAATAGGCAAAGTACTGGCTGGGGTGATTGATCCTGATTGCCAAGAGGAAATGGAGCTGCTACTATCAGGTAATCTGGCTCCAGGCCCAAATCCTGTGTGTGATCTTTCAGGTCCAACATAGGCAGTTACCGAGTTGTGCCTGGCAGCCCTCATGGAGAAAAACTGACGCCACCATACAACATGCTTGGTGCACAGTCAGTGCACTGCAGTTTTCTGGAAGGAGTTGCAGTTAAGGGCTCAGGCTTCCCTGACCCCTGGGCCAGCCATGCTTGTTCACATATCTTCCTTCCTTGTCCAGGCACCTCCATTCAGCCGCCTTCTTACTGGGGGCCTGGAGGACGTGCTTTTCTCCCCTTTGTTTCGGTACTTTTCCATACCTAGCCCTTCTCCCAGCCAACAGGCCCATAAAGAGGCAGGAGCCTTTTGTTTGAGACTTCCCAGCAGTGAAATGCACCCCTCATCTGAGCTGATCCATCTGACTCTCACCCAGCGCCATTCTGCAGATTGACAGCCAGCACCTCTGGGGAGCCAGCACCGTTTTGTGTCTCTTGTTTACACTGTCCCAGCAAGTGAATAAAGGCTTAGTTATTCCTTTTGATTCGGCCCCTTGTCCTAATGAACCACCTGGACACCTGGTTGCTTTTCGGCTACAGAAAGGTGGTTAGGAAGAACATGACTGGAATGTAGAATGTCCCTTAGGGCATCTGCCACCATGCCCTGCGACTGAAGTCAATGGAAAACCAACAATCCCTTTCAGGCAGGACTGTTAATGACCCAGGCCCCTCAGGAATGAGGGTCTGGGTCACCCTACAAGCAAAGAACCCTGAACAACAGGCTGTGGTGCTCCCAGAGGGCAAAGGGAATACAGAATGAGTAATGGAAGAAAGTAGCTATAAACACTATCTAGGACCAGGCAGTCAGTTTCAGAAATAAGGGCTGCAATGTTTATGAGTATTTCTTATTTTGTTATGAGTACGTGGGTATATAAATAATTAAGCAATTATTATCTCTGCATTCTTCCTGCTCTTATCCCTTATCATCTAACATAAGATGCATGAATAACAGTGAACTTTACATCACAGTATTTAAGTTCTAGGATGTTAAGGAAAACAATGAACACCAACCAGGAACTTTTGCATACCCTTCTGGGGAAAGGGTTAACACATTTTTGGTTGTAAGTAAGAGAGCTGCATCATGTCCTGTGGAAGTATGACTTTGTGGGTGTCTTTATTTGGAGATTAGTCATAGTTTAAAGAGAAGTATATGAGTGCCAAGTTTACAAGGGGTGATGGCCAGTTTTATGTGGGAACTTGACTAGTCTAATATTCCCAGTTACTCATTCAAATACTAATCAAGGTGTTGCTGTGAAGGTATTTTGTAGGTATGATTAGCAATCACAGTCCGTTGACTTTAAGGAGATTATCCTTGATAATCTGAGGGGGACCTACATGCAATCAAATGTATCCTTAAAAGAGGGAGGCAGAGCAAGTTTTGAGAGAGAAGTGCACAGAGGAGAAGGGGATGTGAAAATAGAGACAGAGAATAGAATGATGCTGCCATAAGACAAGGAATGCCTGGAATCCCCAGAAGCTGGAATAGACAGGAAAGCACTCTCCCTTCGAGCCTCTGGAGGGTGTGCAGCCCGCTAATACTCTGATTCCAGACTTCTCTTCTCCAGAATGGGAGAATGTGTTTCCATTGTGTTAAGCCACAGAGTTTGTGGCATTTGTTAGAGCAGCCACAGGAAACTAATATAGGTACTTAATAATAAAACACAGTAAGAAAAGAAACTTTATCTGAGGAATGCGAGCCAGCTATAAATTATCAGACCCACAGAGGCAGGAGGGTGAGGCAGCAGTCGCATCCCACTTCCCCTCCTTGAGCTAAGTAATCAGCTCTTGAAGCTGCTTGCTATGTGTACTCTAGACCAGCTGCCGCCACAAGCAGCTGTCAGCTAACCAAGCAAGGCCATTCATTGGACACCATACCACATACCCCACACTTCACCAATGTATAGTCAATCACTAATCAATCTTATTTGTCTAACCAATGGGAATTCCTGACAAACAGCTGTTATCAGCCCCACTCCCTGTCCCCCTTTCTACTTTGGAAAACCTGCTTCTAACAAAGGCCGAACAGAGCTCACATCCAAGGTGACCTGGGTCTGAGTCTTCCAGGCGGCTGTCCTCTCATCTCAGCTCAAATAAATTTTTTAAAATTAGATTTTGTGTCTCAACTTCCTCCTTCAGGTCAACAATCTAATGAGAATCAGATAATATTGTAGAGAAAGAATGAGATAGTACATGCTTCCATTAAGCTACTGCACAAGTAAAACAAGTTTTTAAAATTGAATTCTTACTGAGACACCAATAGTTAAGATGTCCTCCCTCCCATTATACCACAAAATATGAAATCTGTGGCTCTTCAATATTTCCTTTCCCATTTTGCCATTTCCTCAGAGATCTGACCAGGTGGGGCAAAGAGTCATGTCCCAGAAGAGACCTGATACTATATATTAAAAGGCCTAAAAGAAGGCAAGCAAACCTCTAATTAAAAATGTTAATAACATCCACAAGGGTCAAATGATAGTTTAAACCCCTAAAGCTATACAGAAATAATATTCTAAGTCATACTACCATATTGTAATTTACTAAGAAAACCACAAGTAAGGTCTAGAAGCCACCAAAATCCATGATTCTTAATACTTTTAAGTGACGTTTCATAAGAATGTTAGTTGGCTTCAGAGGTTGAAATACCAACTCGCTTCCTTGATTTGAAATTTGATGGGAAGCCAACATCTAGAACTCGGTAATGTTACCTACGACAGTCTTTCTTATATAGCTCTTTTATATTTGCCTTGAAAAAAAATGCTGAACTAATGACAAAAGACAATCTTGGGGGACTTTGTCTTAAAAATCTGAGGGTGGAGAATCAGCACGCAAGCACAACTTCAGGTGGCAGCACCTTTGGAATCAGCACCTCGCCAACTGTGGGGCATCCATTCAAGCTCTGGGGGATGGAATTCCCATACAACCTCGCCAGCCATCTCCAGCGGGTGACCAACTCTAAAGGATGAGAGCAGGGGAAGTGGAAAAGCAGAGAGTAGAACGGTGCGTGGAATGTGAGTTTCTGGAGGGCAGAGATTTTGTCCTGTTTGTTCTCATCATACCACCTGCATGTGGAACAAAGAAGACAGTAAATATCCGTGGAACAGGTCAATGCATAGAAGATGCGGGTGGAGGAATCAAAGAAAGAAGTAAACACGGGAGGAACATAAATTTTCTGAAAGTATATACGGGGAGAAGGCAATTAGAACGATACAAGGAGAAAGTTACATACCAAAACCCAGCTCTCAAATTGAAATTTAATACGTGTCTCATGCACAGCAGCAGTTTACGGAAAACAAAATGAGTAATTTCCTTAGGTTCTTGGGTACTAGATGGGGGTAAGTTATTTTTTGCTGTAAAATTTTAGCATGTATTCCCTGAACAGACAAAGGAGTTTCTCATTTAATTCATTGTTTCATCTTATTAGCACTAGCAGTACCGATAGAAAATTTAATCATTGCATGTTTCATTAAGTTAAAGCAGAAGAAACCTAGCAATTAGCAAATTCCAGACCCACCCAATATTTGGGGGATTTCTCTAAATGTCAGATATGAATTTTTTTTTCCTATTTACCTGATTGACAGGATAGCAGAAATAAGGTATAAGGACTTTGGGAAATTACTGTTAGAAAAAAAAGAATGCAACACATAATTTTCATATGTCTTCCAGGAAAGAATAACCATTATTTTTGGCCTTTTAAAATTCAAGCTACAAACCACAGAGGTTAGATGAGGTTGAACACCTCATAAAAGTCCCTGCACACAGAAACATTCAGAAAACATTGCTGACAGATGACTGTCATTGGTATGGAGGGCTCAGAGATCTAGCAACCAAAACCAAGATTCATTACAATGCTTGCTTTAAATTTTGTTTTTGTTACCACTCCAATAAAACTAGATGACTCTCTTCTATTTTAACTAGTATTAGTCTTTATATTTTCCCTATCATCAATAAGAAATGTATCTTCTGTTCTTAAGGTAATTTATAATGCTGGTAAATACCGCTCTAAAAAATTGATATGTATAACTATATGTCTATACCTTTCAAACTAAGTTATTCTTAAAATTGACACTAGGTGAAAATACTTTCCTTCCCCATCTTAATATTAGAAAAAAATTATCTTGGGGGTGGTAGTAAACTGTTGGAGAGTGAGGGAAATAAAGTAAGAATTTTTTTTTGTTTTTTGAGATGGAATTTTGCTCTTTTTGCCCAGGCTGGAGTGCAATGGTGTGATCTTGGCTCACTGAAACCTCCACCTCCTGGGTTCAAGCGATGCTCCTGCCTCAGCCTCCCGAGTAGCTGGGATTACAGTAATGCGCCACCATGCCCGGCTAATTTTTGTATTTTTAGTGGAGATGGGGTTTCACCATGTTGGTCAGTCTGGTCTCGAACTCCCAACCTCAGGTGATCTGCCTGCCTTGGCCTCCCAAAGTGCTGGGATTATAGGCATGAGCCACCGCTCCTAAAGTGAGCTTTATGATTGTACTTTGTCCCCTGCTATCAAGTCAGTACTTTCAGATATATTCCATAAAAAGGGGGAAAACCTATATTCATCTGCCATTTTAAGAAAATATGATGTTACAGTTCATGAAATCCACATCTGAAATACTAGTATAGTGAAGAAAACATGAGTTCTGGGAGCAGACAGGTGTGAGCTTGAATCTCTAATCTATCACTTATTAATGTAACCTCTGTCCGGACAATTTCCCCACCTACACTATGCAGTTTTTGTGAATGTTAAATGAGGTAAGTAATGTTAAGACTCTAGCATAGCCCTAATACACAGGAAGTACTCAACGAATATTTAAAATAAATATTCATAAAAGTCTCTTTAAGTATCTTTATTTTCCAAATATTCTACCACCCAATGAAAGCATTAAGAAACCAGTTCTTTTCAAATCAGCCATGGCCACAAAACTAACACAGTTAACACAGATTAATATATTGCCAACATATACAAGCTCACTTGTACATGTCTGTACAAACTGCTGAAGTCCAAAAAATAAAATTTCATCAATTGCAAACATACAGAGTGTGCAAAATATTACAGGCTTTTAGATAGCTTCCAATTCTGTTTACAAGCAAGGTACAGGGGAAAAGTTAATTGGGTGAAATGACTTGAAATGACAATGAGTATCAGCTGAATAAGGTCCCGTACAGCCTGCTGTGTTCACTATAGCACTCAGCATGCATGGCCTCTACATGCTTATGGAATAGAGAATATGAAATTTCCCCAATTTTAGTTGTTCTCTTAAAGGTTTGTTACTTTATATTTAAAATGCATTGGTTAAAACTTTAAAAAATGTTTTATTTCTTTATTTTTCATTTAGCTTTAAGTAAAATAAAGACAATCAAAAATGAAAATGAACACTAGAACCTTTTTTCAAACTTTGAAAATCAAGTTAATATTTTCTGAGGCTGGTTTGGTGAGTGCATGGGTATTCATTTATTCACGTTTTAAATTAATTACATATATCTTCAGACACACAACAGTCCCTGGCATAGAGATTGTTTCTGAATGGATGGAAAGAAGAAAGGAAAGGAGGCCTTCCTGGAGTAAGGGAAGAAAGGCAAATGGATGTATGGGAAAAATTATAAATTTGAAAAAAGTGTCACAGAATGAAATTGTCTATATTCCAGGCTAAATAACTTACCTGCATATGGTATGAACTGCAGGTTACGTAACAAGTTAGAAAGCAAGGGAACAGATTTTAAACAAGTCTAACCAACCAGCCACTAAAAAAAAAAAAAAAAAACACAGATACATTTAAAACCCTACCTTTAAATATAAATTTCATTTAAAGAAAAATGTAAAGAGTTAAGAAAAATACTTCAGAAGGCAAAGTGTTAAGTTTAAATATGCGTATTGTATTATTTCACTTTTTATGACAAACTGAGATAAAAAGTACAAAGGACAGCAGATACTTCTGAATGTCACTTGAAAAATGTGGATTTTCAGTTGTACACACCTGAGGTTGAGGCAAGTTATTGGCAAAACCATTTCAGGAGTGTTTATGAAGACTAGAAAAGGTTCAGGGATAGAATATAGAGGGCAGTTTATACTGATTTACAAGAAAGCAGTCATAAGAACTAACACTCATGGGGTAGTCACATGTGTTTTTCACAAAAATTCTGTAAGGTAAGAATTAGTATTATTCCCTCCATTTTAGAGGATGAAACTGAAGCAAAGAGGTTAAATAGCTGGCCGCACAGCTAGTCTGCAGCAAAGTTCGATTAAAACCCAGGCGTCTGCTTCCAGAGTCCCGCTTGCAGACACAAGAGTAGAAATATATATTGAATCAAGTTGAACCATAATGCAAATTCATAGCAAACATAAAGAGTGTGTGCTTTTCATTTTGACCCAATAAACACCTTTTGAGTGTTTATTATGTGCCAGGTGCAAAACTGCAGCCTCCTTTTTACTTCATGTAATGCTAAATTTACAATCTGTTTTGAGTAGATACTAAAAAATGACTTAAGTTGACCGGGTGCGGTGGCTCACACTTGTAATCCCAGCACTTTGGGAGGCCGAGGCGGGCGGATCACGAGGTCAGGAGATGGAGACCATCCTGGCTAACACGGTGAAACCCCCTCTCTACTAAAAATACAAAAAATTAGGCGGGTGTCGTGGCAGGCGCCTGTAGTCCCAGCTACTCCAGAGGCTGAGGGAGGAGAATGGTGTGAACCCAGGAGGCGGAGCTTGCAGTGAGCCTAGATTCCACCATTGTACCCCAGCCTGGACGACAGAGCGAGACTCCGTCTCAAAAACAACAACAAAAAAAATTAGACATTTAACTCAAGTACAACAACGTTGACATGATGACATCATAGATATGTATGTAATTTCCCCTCAGCTAACAAAGTATTTAAATCAAAATAAATTAGAAAATTAGATGGAGTTGCTTTGCCCAGATACTTTCTCATTGTACTGTATTAGTCATTTGGATTATGAGAACAGCAAAGCAAAAGAAGAAGTATTTTTATTGGGGAAAAAAAAGAGGAGCATAGGATGGCATGAAAGACAGGAAATCAAAAGATCATGTGTAATTCACTGTAAATTTGGTAACATGGAAAAAAGTTAATTGTGTTGCAGCCATATCTGTAAGTCCTAATGGCCAGCACAAAGGGGGCTTTTTCTTTCACAGCAAAAAAAAAAAAAAAAAAAAGTGGCCAAATGAATTTTAAGCATTTTCTCTGACAAGTATTTTCATTGTGCTTCTGTTATTCTTCGAAAACAGAAACTGGAATGAGGTTTAAGTTTTGCACTTGGAATGAAATTAGCATGATCGTATAGTTGGTGTCAATAAAGAAATTATTTGTTGACTGCTGGCTTTGCTGTATTCTGCTCTACTATTGTAAAATCTGTCAGTCCCAGCTGCCATCTCCCCTTCAAAACCCAAGTTTCCCAATAAAAAGAACCACAGTTGTATGGAATGGGTCGCCAGAGATTTGAACCTCCGCAAGCATTACTCCCTGGTCCTGCCCTGCTCTGCAGTCTTTGCAAAAAGACAATGGCAAGTTCACCTCCTACTTGAGACACCCAAAATGAAGCTTAAACAACTCTTCAAAACATGTGTGTTGTTGTGCTGTTTTTTTTGTTTTTTTGTTTGTTTTTTTTTAAGTTAAATTAGCTGCTGAATGTATTTTAGCCCAATATAAATTAAGGATATAATCTACCTGACATTGCCTTGAATGGGTTTTTATGCCGTTTACAAGAAACTTAAAACTCCATAAAGCTGACCTATTCATTCATTGATGCTTTTTATTTAAAAGGCTCTATTATATGTCCATCCCAGAAAACCAAATATCCATTTTAAAACACACATAAGACAAAAATGCTATAGTAGCATACCAAAAACACTCCCTACAGCACTGGTTTAATTCAAGTCCTTACATATATATGATAAACTTAAAAATTCAAAATGTGCTAAGCTGGAGGCATCACACTACCTGACTTCAAACTATACTACAAGGCTATAGTAACCAAAACAGCATGGTACTAGTACCAAAACAGATATATATAGTGGAACAGAACAGAGGCCTCAGAAGTAACACATCTACAACCATCTGAGCTTTGACAAACCTGACAAAAAACAAGCAATGGGGAAAGGATTCCTTATTTAATAAATGATGTTGGGAAAACTGGCTAGCCATATGTAGAAAACTGAAACTGGACCCCTTCCTTATACTTTATACAAAAACTAAATCAAGATGGATTAGAGACTTAATCCTAAGACCTAAACTCATACAAACCCTAGAAGAAAACCTAGGCAATACGATTCAGGACATAGGCATGGGCTAAGACTTCATGATTAAAAACACCAAAAGCAATGGCAACAAAAGTCAAAACTGACAAATGGGATCTAAGTAAACTAAAGAGCTTCTGCTCAGCAAAAGAAACTATCACTGGAGTGAAGAGGTGACCTACAGAATGGCAGAAAATTGTTGCAATCTATCCATCTGACAAAGGGTTAATATCCAGAATCTACAAGGAATTTAAACAAATTTAAAAGAAAAAAACACCACCATCAAAAAGTGGGCAAAGGATATGAAAAGACAATTCTCCAAGTAAGACATTTATGCGGCCAAACAAACATACGAGAAAAAAAGCTCATCATCACTCGTCATTAGAGAAATGCAAATCAAAACCACAATGAGATACCATCTCACGCCAGTTAAAATGGCCATCATTAAAAAGTCAGGAAACAACAGGTGCTAGAGAGGATGTGGAGAAACAGGAATGCTTTTACACTGTTGGTGGGAGTGTAAATTAGTTCAGCCATTGTGGAAGACAGTGTGATGATTCCTCAAGGATCTAGAACCAGAAATACCATTTGACCCAGCAATCCCATTACTGGATATATACCCAAAGGATTATAAATCATTCTACCATAAAGACACATGCACACATATGTTTACTGCAGCACTGTTCACAATAGCAAAGACTTGGAATCAACCCAAATGCCCATCAATGATAGACTGGATAAAGAAAATGTGGCACATACACACCATGGAATACTATGAAACCATAAAAAAGGATGCGTTCATGTCCTTTGCAGGGACATGGATGAAGCTGGAAACCATCATTCTCAGCAAACTAACACAGGAACAGAAAACCAAACACTGCATGTTCTCACTTATAGGTGGGAACTGAACAATGAGAATGCATGGACACAGGGAGGGGAACATCACACACTGGGGCCTGTTGGGGGGAAGAGGGTTAAGGGAG